GCAAAAGTTATGCTCAGTAAGCCTCGTTTGACCTCCGTAGGTTTTCCACTAATCATAGGATTTCAGTTTCTGCCAGCAAAAGACTTGAGGTCAGAGTAGGACAATGTTTTTATGACAGACCAGTGGTTTATACCACACTGATAAAATCAATACGCCATAAAGATGAGTCAATATCATATCTGGAAAGTATTTTAAAGCCAATTCATTTTAATAAATTATTTTCAGTATTGAAATAGATTTAATTTTGTTCTTGGGAATATAAGTTGTCAAAATTTTTTCCAACTATAAGCCCAAAATCCAAAGATAAGTTTATGACACCAATATTTTCACACTGTTATTTTCACTTGAAATGCTTCTCTGATGATGAACCAATCAGGCCATCATTGGTTTGTCGACTAATCGATTGCTTCAGCTCTAATGCGCCAGCAGTACTGTGCATTTTAAAATGTGTTCTTCCATTTTTGAAGCTATAATTAGCCATTTGTGTTACTATATTGTACGGTGCAGGTGTCTCGCTATTGTGTCCACTGGCTATGCCTGTTAGTGTGGTGCTTCAAGGAATAGTTTGACCTTTAGGATCCATTTATTTTGATACGACGCTTATTTCTCAAAACATATAGCTAGGACCAGCAGGTTGTTAGCTTAGCAAGCAAGATCGGAAACAGCTAGACACATCTACTGGCATCTTTAAAAGTCACTGTTGTATCTCATTTGTTTAGTTTGTACAAAAACACAAGTGTAAAAAACTGTTTCTCTTTCAATACCAGGACCAGTTACTGGAGACTCTGCTTGTCCTAAATTTCAACAGTTTTGACACAGATTTGTTTAATTATCAACTTTGTTACATACAGTAGCACCAAATCTTTCTATATGTGTGATTAAAAAAAAACTTGTCAGCCACTGAGCAAGACCACAAATAGTTTGAGATTTTATTGGAATGACTTCAGCCATAAAACATTTCAACACACTTCTATCACGTATCTGAGTGGGACTGCTTCAGTGACTTGAAAGAAACATTCTTAGTTGATAGTTGGAGATACTCTAGCTCTAAAATGCCTTCACTAAGTGCCTGACTCTCTGTGGCATCAGCTGACAAAACAGATGTATTAAAACCCCCACTTCCACTTCCTTCATTTTCAGCCAAAGCGTAAAATGTTTCCATTCTGCCATCGACATCCTCACTTATCACACCCTGCTTCGTTGTCTCATCACCGCTGAAATCTTCCACCTCATTATCGGCATTTACTTCAGGACTTATGCTCATGTTTTCCCTCCTGTGCACATCAAAGGTTGAGGCCCAGTAACCTACGCTGTGTTTGGTTGTAGTGTTTGGAGAATCTTCATCAGCCGGTGTGGTTGGTATCTGGGCTGTAGCTCTGACTCCACTGAATGAAGCACTTCCAAAAATATCAGCGTATGTGACAGCTGTGACTCTGATGGGCACTTTGGGCAGCCTCACTATGTGTACTATGTGTACATTATCGCTGGTCAGCTTCTTGCTGGTAGAGTGTTTTCCTTTCACACGTCTCCCTTTCACCGTGCTGATGGTGGAAGTGTTCAGTAGGCTCACCTTCATCTCAGCAGGTCTGATTTTATTGGGTGTTCCTGGCTCATCCTCTGGACTGGATTCAGCTTTGAGACTCCCTGCTGATCTGAGATAAGCTGAGGAGGCATTGTGAGCTGGTGATGCTGTAGTTGTTGATTCTGGGTAGTGTGTCTTGTCATTAGCATGTTCTGTTGTGTTCTGAACAGGCTGAAATCCCAGAGGAGTGTGGATTTTGTTGTTTTGTTTGTCTATTGATAGAGTGCTTCCTGCATTCTGGAGAAGCGGGTTCAGGTCTTCACTCCATAGCTTATTTGGGCTCTGGGTGGATGCGTTGCTGGTAATTTGCTCTGTTTCACCTGCTTGATTGTGCCATCTGTGAACTCTGCTGCTTTTCG